GTGTCCTGTTATCATTTTAACAGTATATTCCATGTCTGGAATATCATGAGCCAATAAGGGGAAATATATTCTGTGATAGGCAAGTGTGGAAACAATTAGTAAGCACTAATGTGTTCAGTGTGGAATTGGCAGTTAGGATAATAATGGGAGAGGCAGAAAGGCAGCTGTAAGTGGTTTGTGGCCCAAGAAGTTCCCTTTCACTTAGTAAAACAGGATGGTTTCAAGTGATCCGGGAAGTAGGTAGATGGCAGGAGGTTTGGCATATTGGGTTACCCAGGAAGGGCTTACACATCAAATATATGAATTACCCAAGGTAATTTCAGAGCCACATGGTGTTAAAATTTTCTGTTCTGTGCTTCAGGTTGCGTAGTAGTAGTTGTGAATGGTGAGAATACTGCTATGTGTGCTGTTTCAGAATTTAAAATTGCGAAACTGTTGCGAAGATTTTTTCTAATAGTTAAACCTTTCTCAAAACCTCTAATAATACTGTACATATGGTTGTATCATTAAGATGTTAGGGTTAGAATCCCCTTTATAAGATCCCATGATCTTATTTTATGATGAGACCAAAGCCCCATTAAATTGCCTTTTTTGCTGAAGTACATATTTTTCCAGGCATATATAATGCAGAAGGTGGGAAGTCCTTTGTGTTTTGCCGTCTGATAATTCATATGTGCATACTTCTGTGGAGTAACGCAGTATGCTGAGACTTTAATTGGTAGATTTTTCTTAATGTATTATTTCTGTATGAAAACTATTCCTGTCTTATGAACCTAAATAGTGATAGAATATTACAGTTTTCTTTCTTCTGGACTTGTAGCATGAATAGAGATACAGAAATACTGCAAAGTAATGTAGAAACACTAGTAAAATTTAGAGGAATTATGTTGTGTTGAAGTAACTGTCACTTTAAATGGTCTCCATTATTGCAAGGTATCAACTGTTGCAAGCTGAAAATTTTTAAAATATATTTTCAGATGCATGGTGTCAAGCAAATGGCTTAAAATCACCACCTATTTGTGTGGGTTTAGAGTGTAGATATACTTGGTAATTTATCATTTATTGAGATTTACCATTTATTAGAAAGAACATGTGACAATTGCCATTTGTTTGCTCTGGCAGCAGATTGTTTTCTGCAGTGGGTACTTGATACAACAGAAAGTTGAGTTTGGAAGCACGTGTATATACACACACAAACACACATGTGTATATATAAAAATCGATACACTTCTAAGTGTTTGAAGACAAATATATGCATGCTGTACACCTGGATTCATCTATAGTTAACAATGAGATGACAGAATATAGTTTTTTATTAAAGAAATAGATAAGTATGTGTGTATTTATGTGCATATACAGAGAGATACTAAATATGTCATAGACATATGTATAGAGCTGAAGAAGAAAATTACAGACACTAATTCCAACACTCCCCGAGTCTGCACCTCTGTATTGATGTATCCTTTGCCATGTTGTTGACCATGCTTCTTGAATAACTTGTGACTAAGGGACTGAAAATCAAGTAGCATTCAAATATATTTTGGGGGGTTGGACTGATGATCTCTGGAGGTCCCTTCCGAACCCCTACAATTCTGTGATTCTCTGATATTTCCATCCTCCTTTTGAAGGCAGTATGAATTTCTTCATATGTATGCCACAGTTATGAAGACAATGTAAGAGATAGTTCTTTGTTGTAAAATCAGCAAAGCAGCCCAACTTGCCTTTATTTAATGCTATTTAATCCAATTATCTCCCCTCTGCCCCCAATTACTTCTTTGCTATTCTTACATTTCAAATAAAGGATGATTGACAGATAGGATAACTAGGTAAAATGCTTGACTAAGAAAAACATCAAAACTTCAGTATCTCCTTTGTATGTTGGTTCCAGGAGAATTTCTGGGAAAAAAAAAAAAGAAAAAAAAAAGAGAGAGAGAGAGAGAGAACGATCATTTTGTGACAGTGTTTTTCTTTTTGAACCCTAAGATGTTTAGTACCTCAATCCATAGTAAGTTTTCTCTGAGATCTCTGTCCCTTAATTTGGCATTTTTACATAGGAAATTTGGGACGTGTCTTTAAAACTGGAACATAGCAATAATCCCCTGTTCTAATGCCTTTTTGTTGTTGTTGTTTGCTTGATTTTATCTTTTTTCTTTCTTTCTTTCTTTCTTTCTTTCTTTCTTTCTTTCTTTCTTTTTCTTTTTTTTTTTTTTTTTTTTTTTTTTTTTTTAAAAAAGGCTTTTCTACTGCAACTTAGAGAAATTGTAAGGCTTTTAGCAGCAAAACCAGCATCACAATTGCAGACAAAGAACTATGATTTCATTCTTGATCATTTCAAATGGATTAGAAAATATTGTCCAAATTGGGCACCATGCCAATATTGCCATTAACTTTTCCCATAAAATATGATTAAGGACCTTAACAAGCATTTAGTAATTAAGTGAAGTGCTCTGGAAATTTATATGCTGTCCACAGTTTGTCATGTTCTGTAAAATACTGAAGACAGTTTTTATGAAAAGCAATAAAAATAAAGCACTTGAGAAACATCTGGGAGTGCTGTCTGATTGTGTGGGGGGAATAGTTTCATTGGTAACAGGATATTTTGATATATAAAATTAATGTTGTGTATAGTTGATTTTTGTTTGTTCTTTAGGTTAATGAATAACTGACTGAATTAATATAGTAATTTCTATAATTGTATATACTATTCTAGTGTCCGTGTTGCTTCATTTTGTACCCTGAGTTGATTATTTTCCATGTACTCTATTAATGTGTGTACTGTTCTGTATTTGGTTTTTGGTTTCATTTAACGCAGCTGAATTTGCTGAAATAATAGCACAAAGAGAATGGGAGTGCTGAACAGACTCTGAATGAAGCACATTTTCCTGTAGCATAGCAGGAAAAAACAGTAGAGGCTTTTAGTCTGATAATGTTCAGTGGATGGCAGGATGATGCTTTGGTTTTAGCTTTGTTAACAAAGGAAAAGGTTAGCCTGTTGCTGCTGAGGTAGCTTTTATGTGCTGTGGCCACTCGTAGTGATTTATGAGTAATTTTCTCTGCAAACCTCTTTTCCTCCCAATAGTCTCCAGCTTCCTCTGACACAGAGTACAGTCTGGATTGTGCACAGGCTTAATGGAATAACAGAACTAGATTAGTTTTCTTTACTGTGCTTTGAAAGGGGATTAATTCATACCTTAAATCTGGGGGAAGATGGTTTTCAAAAGTACAAAACTATGGGCAGCAAAATCTACTAGAATTAAAGGTGAATGGATTTATTTTTTTTTAATCAGTACAGTTATTTCAGATTGTTGACTAGTAAAAGGCTATGCAAATTTGCAGTCTGCACCCCTATTTTGCAGATAATGAAACCGTGTGAATAACTTTGCTCGTGGATAAAATCGTTTTCATTTTTTATTGCAATTAAAATTTGGTTAACATTCCATGGGGCAGCTAGAGTTCAGTTCCAGCCTGGGTCAAGACTTGGCTGTGACCTTTAGCCAGGTCTACTCCTTGTGCACAGGCACTAGAGCCAGATCTTACCTTGAGGTTTCCACCAGAAAATCTAGAAAAGTTCCATATTCAGTGTTTTTGGTTCCGTGTGTGCATGTTTGTGTTTTGTTTTTAACCTTGTCCAGAATTGCTGCAGGGTTGCATGATTCTCCCTGGAGGCTTCATCTAGTCAGGGAATCCCAGTCGATGTTTCTGTTAGCAGTGGCCCCAGCAGTTTTAGGAGTTTTTCAACCAACACAATGAGTCTTGAGGTCTTGTGACAGTGATATGTAAGATATTTCCTCTGCCTATTGAACATTTAATGTTAATTCATCAATGGTGAGCAATTAATTTGCTTGTAAGGCAAACAGCAAAAATAAAAAGCCTCTAAGGTTTCTGAGTTAAAGGAGACAGGAGAAGAGCTCCTTGCTTCCCATGCTGTAGCTTTGCTGAAGTTCTTTCTTTCTGGTGTTGAAAAATAGAACTTTTCCTGTTTTAGGAGAGAAGGATGGAAGCATGGAAGTCCTCTGCACAAAATATCAGCCACCTTTGTCTTTTAAAACACTGCATGTAGCATTTGTCTATTTTATGGAAACTTTTAATGGTACCATTCATTGATAAGTGAAAGGTTATAGAAGAAACTAGGGGAAGGTGGGTTGAAGAGCTTTACTACAAAGTATATAAATCTGATACAGCAAGAATGCCTTGTTTGTCACATTTGTGTTCTGTAGGTAAATGACATTTTTCTTTAGCTTCTTTCATGCACCAATGCCTTTGCAAAGTATGCAGAAATTGTATAGGAAGGCAGTTTGTTTTATTTATTTGTTTTTTTAAATTTACACATGCATGCCTGAGTGCACACATTGCAAATACCATTTTGCTTGTATGATGTATATTTACCACTTATAGGGCTTTTTGTTGTTGTTGTTTGTTTGTTTGTTTTTATATTCTGAGCTTGAATGTGTATTCCTCAACATCAGTACTATGTTTCATATTTGGGATTCTGTTCTGATATTATTACAGATATATACAATTAATATTAAAAAGCCAAACCAAACCAACTAAACAAAACCAAACAAACAAACAAAGCTTGCAGTGCATGAATTTCAGGTGCAGTTTACATGCTAAGTTACCCAAAGTCACTGTTGAAATCTAGACATTTGCCACAAACCTTTCATTGATGAAAACGAACGTTTTGGTGAAAATCACTTTCAGAACTAGTTTTTGTACTAACTAGCAATTAAAGTTTTGCACTGTACTGTCAAAGGGCAGAGGTAATGTTTGTCTCCAGGACAAGAAAAATGGTCCTCGTTACTTTAAAGAAAGGGTGTTAGTGCCTATTTACCCTTGTACTAATTCTTGATCCTCTCTTATCATGGAATTAGAACAAAACAAAACAAACAAACAAAAACCAACATATTTTTGGATGATGTCTAAGAATAGTCACCTGCATACATTTTGTTTCAGAATTAAAACAATTAACAGTCTTTGCATTATTTTGTTTGTTTTCCCAGAGCATTCTACCTGGACAAGTCAAACCTTCCTGCAAATTCAACATCTAAAGCAGCTTACATAGATAAGGTAAATAAAAATGTTAAGTGCATGCTTAAACTCTGTATGTTACACACTGCTATTATAATCCTTTCATGAGGTGTTCTTTATTCTATTCAAAAATGGAATTCAAAGCTATAGGGGCTTTGGATATAAGGAAAGGAGGAAATCTTTTCAATCTTTCTGTTGCACCTTGCTGTTCGGGGTATGTGGTGCCATGTGGTTCTTCATCCGCAGCTGATGCTGAAGGGCATCAACATGTCTCAGAAAGAGAACCATAGATTTTCTTTTTCGCCACATTGTCAGAGCAATGCAGTCACACCAGGAGCATGCAAGGGGTCGGGTGAGGGGGGAGCAGATGCAGGCAGAATTTTTTTGTTCCAAAAATTGGAATTGCTGTTAAAAATTAAATACTCCTTCAGCCTGCTCAGGCTTCCTTCTGAACCTCCTCATTTCAGCTTTCTCCAAATACCTTCATCGGTCTTCAAATCTCTGTGACTGAGAGATCCCAGGGGCTATGAAAATTCATTTAATGATCTCTCCTACTGTTGGAGAGTTAATACCCCTACTGTAGACCAATAAGGAAAAACACAGAAATTCCTAAGGTCTTGTCTGTACTGACTTACAAGCAAAAGTGATTGAGTTACTGTGGCTTGAGAAATATAGTAATCATCAGCTGAGCTTTATGACAGACTAAAATTTTATGACCGTATCATCTAGCACAATCATTAACGGACAGATAGCTCCTGTTTCTTGGCTCTGTGCTGGACCGCTTAGAAGGGGAGGAGGATGAGCCTGTTCCTCTCCTTCCATGGTGAGTCAGGAAATTTAATTTTCTAAACAGTCACAGCTGCAACAGGATAAATTAGCTACATATAGAGTGCTTGTTACCCTCAAACCTGTTCCCTATCTATTTTAGTAAAAAGACCAAGGGCAAGTTAAAAGCATCTCATAATCCTGAGGTAACCAAGGGATGTTAATTTAACGTAGTGCATTTATTTTGCAGTTGGAGCAAGCTAAGAGTTAGTGCATGGTCTTAGCTTGTGGGCGTGATTTCTGTTATGTTCTTCATAGCTCTGCATTTGTAAATGGTACCAATGAAAATCAATTTAAATGGATGCAAGTTAAATCAATAGGAGGTAAACCAGGTTAAATTTATTTGTGCCCAGATTTAAATATGCTGGTTGTTATAATTGATTTACTTGACCTGTATGCTTTTTTTGAGTGAAGTTACCTCCATAAATGGGCAAGTGAGGCTAATGTTTCCCTACTTAGTTAAAGATGTCTCTAGGGAATGAATCTCTTTTTCAAAAGACTTAACCTTTGGTTAAGAGTTTTGCTGGAATCTCAAAGTGCTTCTGGAATAAAGATAAAGGGAATTTAGAATTATGGTCTTTGCAAAACTATGTTGTGAACCCCTCCTTTACACAAAGCACCATGAAATGTTACTTTTCATTGCCAGATTTCTCTTGAAGACTCTTCTGAGAGCAGCAGCCTTCTACCTGAACCTGCCTTTTCTAGGTGGATTATTTATTTTTCATGCAGTAATGTTGAGTTTTGTAGTATGTTTTGAGATTCCTGTTCATTTTTCTTTTTCCATGTTGTTAGTCAGGGTTAGGAACCATCCATTTGCACAAGTAAAGGATAATGTGTCTGAATTATAAGCTGATTGTCTCAGTGAGTCAATTAACCAGGCTTGGTATCCCTCCTGTATATGTATACGGTTGTAGGTTGTCTCTTTGTGGTTTCCCTTCTTTGGAAATACCATTAATGCAAATGGCACTGATGGAACTGTTCAGTTTAATGAAGTGAAAAACAGCTCTGTAGGCAGGACTGGGAATGAAAGTCAGTGACCGTAAGAATTTAAAAGTTTGAAAAAGTTGTCCTCAGTCATAACAGAAGACTCTGTGATCTGTATGCATGTTAAAGAATCTGGCTTTTAACTGTCCTAGACAGCCCTGCTGTTCCAACCCGTAGTTGTGAAGACCTACTACAGGAGAGCATTTCACATGTTCTCAGTAGCAAATATTGAAATTTCTCTCTTCCCTTTTGCAGCTGATGAGGCCTCTCAATTGCTTGGATGAACTTTACCGACTCATAGGGTCCTTTATCCGTTCCAAGCGCACCGCTGCCTGTGCATACACTGCTTGCAGTGCTTCTGGAGTTGGATTGCTATCAGTTTCTTCTGAACTCTGTAACAGGCTTGGAGCTTGTCACGTCATTATGTGCAACAGTGGAGTTCACCGGTATGGCAATTTATTTTCCTCCCTTTGTTTTAGTCAGTCATTCAGACATTGCAGTTTGGAGAGAGTTCTTGTACTGTCTTTCCATATATGTGACTAAGTATTTAATACACTTAAAAAATCTATGGTGAAATAGTAGAACTATTTTTGCAGTGATAGGCAGAAATGAGTAGTATGATTCTGTTTTGTGCAGTTGTGATGGATTGTTCCTTATTCAAGTCAGTAAAATACAGGAGTCTTAATTGCTAAGGCAGAAAAAGGAATGTTTCCTAGGTGAATAACACACTATGTTAAATTCTTGATACAGACAAGAAATGCTGAAATTTGCATTTGCTTTGTATGCTGGGTAGAGCTTATTTCAAGGAAAAGATAAATGAGACATAAGAGGTATACATTTCTGCAGGTGTACCATATGATAACGAGAAGTTCTGTCTGTAGAACAGCTGGTGTGATTAACACAATACCAGAAAATGAACTGGACTGTGATCAACTGAGCTTTGTTGTCATCAACTCTGAGATCTTAATAGACGCACACACGTGTGTGTGTCTATTACATATATACACACACACATATATATAAACACACATGTGTGTCTATATATATAAATAAAGAAGTCAGTAACATTATTATTGAGCTCACTAGTATTTAATGATATTTATCAAAGGCAGCATTATTTATATTCCAGTTGGACAGAATACAATTTTATGTACGTTACATCAAAAAAAAAAAACAAAGACTGAATTGGAGAGGGGGAAAACAACATCAAAAACAAGCTATTACCAAAAATCTGATGTTAAATAACAACTCTCTATAAAATTTCCAAACTATGCATTGCAGCTAGCAATATGTTAAAATTATCCTCCTTGGGAGTTGCTCTCCATCATCCTTGTGAGTCCCTATCAACTAGGGATGTTCTGTGATGATATGACCTACCTCAATCCTTATTTTAGCAGACTTGATTACCCATACTTTGTATTAAAATGAGTGTTGCTTTCTCCTGATTTTAACTAATGTCTTTTCTTTAAAAGAGGCTTAGGGAAAAAAAATACAGTATAACCACAATGCTATTAGGCACGAGAACCAGGAAAAGCTCTGTATACAGACAACACAATTAAATTATATAAAAACAGTACTTGCCATTTCTCTTAGCAGAGATTTTAATAGTGTTATATTGCAACAGACTATTTGTATTACTCTTTATCGTTGATACAAGAGAATGTAGCGTGCTGTTTACTGTACTTGGCTTTAGGCAATTGCTAAATAAGACTACTATTTAACACTAGACAATAGGTGGGAATACTGTCTGGCAATACTAGCCAATGAAGGTGGGAATACTTTATGGCATAGATTGGCGTGATGTTGTCATTTCAGAAGACTATAAAGATAGCTTTTCTCTGTCTCTATCTTTGTTTATACAGCTTCACAAGAAGTTTTTCTGATACAGATAGTCCCTCTACATGTGTCAGACCTTCAGATTTCTAAATTCATTTTTGCTTATAAACATTGCTCTGAGAGTGAACAAGATTTGATGTAGGGGGATGGGAAATCAGCCTTTTGTAAGGCACACAAGAGAAAGCTTTATTAGCTCTTAAGAATGAAAAAAAAAATCATTAATAATTAGGCTGACCTCATGTCAGTTAGTTACTATGAGTTACCATTTTTACCATTTCCTCAAAGCCGTGTGCTTTTACGAACAGATTCCTTATTCCCAAGTACCCTTCCAAAGACTTCCCTTTATATTTTAAGAAGAGAAATTTCACATGATCAGAAAAGACTATGGGTTTGATTCTGCAATTTTGCATAAAACTGAGGAACCCTACTTCTGAGTTTTCTTTTGATTTCATGGATCCTGAACCTGCCAATATAGTCATGGCAAAAATTCTTACTATATAAGAATAAAGTCAGAGCAATTTTAATAGTCTCAATAAAGTATTAATCTGCAGTGCATGGATCACAATCATTCAGAATTATTTAGTAGCTGAATAACTGGTGGCATGCTTGATTGAAAAAATGAGCAATTCTTAGATGAGAAGGAATTATTCATGAGATTTCTGCTCAAAACTAGGGCTAATTCAAAGGTTAAAACTTTTAGATGTCTAGTTAAGTGTATTTAAACAACACAAAATACCAGAAAGCCAACACACACTGGATTTCAAGACACTATTACAAGCAATGGGAATGGAGTTTTAGTATTTTACATGTGGCTTTCCATGTCAATGTTAAAGGGCTCAAGATCACCATTTACGTAAAGTAAATGTGGAAAACACTTTTCTGTAAAGCATGACTAGTTTTGCTTTACAGAAGAGTCTGTTTGAGCTTTTGTACAAGATACAATTACTTCACTTGTGCAATAATATTACCTTTGTGGCTACCATCTGTTCAGAGGAAAAAAACATCAACTCTTGACATTATCACAGACATTTTAAGATAGGCCTTCCAGGAGAGAGGAATGTATTCCTTCAGATTTTATAGGTACTCAACGAGTTTTTGCTTTGAATTTTTGAAAGTTCTGGAGAAAAATCATATATTTAGAGATTGGAAGGGACTCTTGTGCTTTTATTTGAAGTGACAGAAGTTGAAGAAGCTATTTTTTCTTTTCAAGAAATAACAATTTCCTTAAATTAATGTTGTATGTACAAACAGGATGGATGGAAAGGTCTTTCCTTAGCATTTCAGATTGTATTCAACATTGTTGTTTTGTCTTTTTGGCCTCCCTAGGCCATATCTCTGCAGTCCAGTTCTAAATATCCTCTGCTTTTTGGCACTCTGAAATTGCCTTTGCCCAGATAGAAAGCTTGTTTTGTCTCCAACTTGCATGCATGCTTGTGAATTTTGTTCCTGAAATTTCTGCTGCTAAATTGTGCTGTGTTTTTCTGAACCTACTCCCCTTGCTGCTGCTTTGTAGAGTGAAACTGTCTTGCAGCATCATGAAGTCCTGTGAGGAGGACAAAAGGAAGAATAAAAAGCTGGATGCGATCCAGTCCCATAGACACAGAAGATTTTGCCTGTTGTCTGCAGTCTGCGAGGCTTAATTCTGCTTTTTTAATGGAATATTATTTAATCAGAGCAGATAATCATACAAAGTAAAGTTCTTTAAATTGTAAGTTAACTTTTTAGAGTTGATGTTACTGTTTTTAGTAAGAGAGGATATATTTTCCTGGTTGTATTCAGCAATACATCTGGCCTTCTGTGTTCTTAGAAACTAAATGCTATGAAGTTCTGGAATGCAACTAGTTGCAGAAATCCATGTTTTGTAGGTCCAATGAGCTCACAACTGAAGTTTTTAGCACTATGCTACAGGCATTTAATGAACTGAAAACAGTTATTATCTACTGATACCGCTAGGCAAGCAGATGTTGGAAAGATGTGAATAGTGCTTTCAGGTTAACTTTTAAAATATGTTCTTCATGTATTAGTCTTCTTGACAGCTTAAAAGTGAATAATAATGAACTCCTTGCAAGGTTGCTTCCAAAATAAAAGAAAAATAAAAAATCCAACACAGCCTAATTTCTGTAGTTGGTTGCTAATGAAAGGGAATCTCTGAGTCTGTGGAGGAGTTCAGGGCTCTCTGCTGGTCAGCATCTTTTGCTCCTGGGGAGTGGGAACTGAGCAAACTGTTCATCTGTCAGTTTACATTATTTAATATACTTTAAACCTGAACTCCCTCACTCAATTTATCTGTCAGCTACTGAACTGATTGGAGAGCCTTTTCAGTGTTTTCTTAACTTAGGTGTCATGGATTGACAATGGGGGTTGATGTCACCTTTCCTCTCCTAACTGGAAGCAAATCCCAGAAAGCTTGAAGGGAAGTGCTGGCTAGCAGCCCCAATGCAGAAGAGGCCAAGCACTATGAAACATCAGCTTTGTCTGCTTTGACAGTGATTGCTGATCTCTGGATCAGCAGTTACTTGGTTTCTAACTTCTCTGTGATCCATATGAAATTGCTTTTCACACTGCACTAGGCTAAAACAGCTTGACAGAGTTCACATGTTCATCCCTGTATCCAAGATAATACTGGAGATTTTGAATTGCCAGTGATTGCTTTGCTTTGATTTTTACTATGTCAATATGTTTACCAATTTATATGACAGTCTGAAATCCTATATCTATTTCAGACAGCATTTCTTTTCAAATATATTTCAATCACCAGATAAGCAAGGATGAGGAAAAAATAAGTCTCTTTAACCTTCTCTGTCCAAAGTGATGTAAGTACTAGAAACTCCTTTTGGATTGTCATAAGTGAACACGCCTTGTTGCTCAACATTAGGAGGAGAACTCTAAAGTAGTCTAATAAATCAATAGTTTGTATTTCTGTTTTTCCTTTTTTTTTGTCATCCATAATTATATTTCTGCCTGCCAGTCAACTGCCGCCCCATAAACAATGCTCTGCTGTCTTGTATTCATTCTGTTTGAAGTTGTAATCACTCTGTACAAATGTAGGTGATGAAAGGCACTTTTAAATTTTATTGAATCATGATGTTAGCTCCTGCTTGAAGGAGAAGAGCAGACTATAGAGCACAGACATGCCCTAGCCTCTTTCCATGCCAAAATGAAATTAGGTGCAGCAGCTGCAGAAGCCTATTCAGGGACCATAGGCCTTACAGGCTCAAAGGAATCATTTAAAGCATCCAAATGAAACAAATCCCATGCTTGTTTAAAATTTTGCATTTCCTGAAGGATTGAGAGAAGTCTTTTATAATCTTGATGAACCACCAGAAAAATCACTGTCTTATTTTCTCTGAATTTTAATTTCCCCTCCAGAAAGTCTCTTAGCGTTGCCATCCTTCAAGCGGTGGGGTTCTGGCTGGCAGGCATTCAGCTGAATGATGAGGCAGGTTTTGCCAAGGGTTGATTATGCTGTCTCCTGCAGCTGACACAGATCCCAAAACCCAGCTAAACTGGCTCCATCTTCCACACAGTGAAGCAGAGTAACACCATAAGCTGTCCATTGTGGCCAGCTGCCTTTTTTTGAATCAGATAAAACATGGTGAAAAATAGGAAC